AATATTACTTCACTTGGGTACACTGGTATTTTTCCCAGTCTCTCTCTGGGAGAGAGCCAGGTGTCTGTAGCTTGGGTCTAAAAACAACAGGCACGCCCCTCCTAGCTTTAGTCTTTCGAGAGGCTCAGCTTTTGAAAGCAGTGAGGACAGTGGTGAAGTCTCAGTGTGGACGGGGCTGAAGTGACCGACAAGTTGGAGGGTAAGAGAGCTTCCCAGGCCTGGGATTCCTCCAGAAAATTAAGTTGGAATTGAATTCTGTGCAGCACAAGGAGGTGGCAGGACCTCAGAAAAAATGTGGTAGCTTAACGCACTTAGAACGTCTGGATTCAGGACCAGAGACGTCAAAGGGCATTCTGTCAAAGTGAGCACAAAGCCTTGGTAGCGCTGGAATTCACCAGTCCACGTGACACTTGAAGGGTGACTATGTGTCAAGAAAAGGGCCCAAAAGTTTGGGACTATTTGCTTTTCTGTGGCAGAAAAGGAATCCCCAGTAATGATAAAAATTAAGTTTTCCCAACTCCATTGAATGAGTTTTCAGAATGTGCTGAAGTTGATCTAGAATTTTATTAAAAGTCGTGTCTTGCACCCATATCTAGAAATAAAATTTGCAAGCATTATTCATTTTTAAAAAGATTATTTTTGTGCGTAGAATGAATACATAAGTCGAAGACAAATATCAGTTTTAGAGATCAATTGATGGCTATTTTATTAGTCCAGGCAGGAGATGAAGGTGAGGAAAGCAGTGGAGATACAGAGGAGACTGATTAAAGCTGGGTCAGTTTCACACTTTGCATGGCAAAATTGGTCTGCTCATCATCCTTAAGGATTTAACAAAGCCCAAGTCTTTGAGGCTCTGTCCTAATCAGGGAAAGTTCTGCTTTGTGCCAAGTCAGAAGATATTTGGTATGTTTGGAGAGGTGCTAATCATTTTCTTTGGCCAGTTAATGCATGTTTGTTGAATGAATAATTAAGTGGCTTAGTTTGGGAAATGAGTGGAGATGTTTGAATGAGTTTGAATAAGAAAGGCAAAATGGATCACGGAGAAGGGAAAAAGCATTCCCGGCCTATGATCATGGGAACACCTTGAAGCAGGAAAATGAGTTTTGAAAAGGAATGTCTTAAGAAGCTGGAAATGAAGGCAGCAGTCATGTCACGCAGGGTCTTCAGGCCGAATCAAGGAGACTGAAGTTTAGGTCTAAGACAATAGGAACCTAAGAGAATTTTAACACAACATAATGATATATACAGTTTTCAAAAGAGCTTTCTGACTGCTGAATAGAGAGTGAATTGGACTAGGGCAAGCACAGATGCAGGACACAAATTAGGAGTTTATCATAATTTAGAAAAAGATTTAGGAACAATTGAGTTAGGGCCTGATAACTGATTGGAGGGCAGTGTGGGGTCACGGGAAGGGAGGAAACCTCAGATATGAGAACATGGGTGGGTGTTGATAGTGTGTTTACTAAAATAGAGACCACAGAGTTCAACCAGATGTCCCAAGGGTAGATAAGGAGTTCATTTTCACTCCCATCACGTTTAAAGAGCCTTAGGACAACCAAGTTATGTAAAGAGACAGCTGAAGTCCTTACCTGGAGCCATTGGTTTGATCAAAACAATCAGAGGATACTGGAATCATTTAAATAGAGAGCAGGGGATGATAGAGGATTGTATCTTTTTAATAAGGTTCACTTGCGTTGAATAATTATCAACTTATTTCCTTGCTTTGTTCTTTAAAATATCATTGCTTTCTTTCTACACTATTGCTGTTTTCAACTTTGTTCACCTTATTTTTACTTTTTTTTTAATTGTAACATAGTTGATTGTACATTTCTGTGGGATACAGAGTTGAATATCATTACCTGTGTGCACTGTGATGTTCATATCAGGATGATTAGTATATTCAACAATATACAATGTAATTGTTTTTTGTGGCCCTTTACCAATTCCTTTCGTTCTCCCCTCCCACTCCCCCTTTCCCACCTCTGGTAACCTCAGTTCTGTTCTCTCCTTTTGAAAGTTCAACATATTATTGTAATTGTGGTATCTTTCTTACTTGCTTTGTTTAGTTTGTAGGTACCAGTTATAAGTAAAGACTTGCAGTTTTTCTCTTTCTGTGGCTGGCTTATTTCACTTAATTTGACTTTCCCTAAGCTCATCTATGTTGCTGCGAATGGCATTATCTCATTCTTTTTATGGCAAACAGTGTTCTGTTGTATAAACATACCACATTTTCTTTATCTAGTCATCTAATGATGGATATTTAGGTTGGTTCCAACTCTTGGCTATTATAAATAGAGCTGTGATAAACATGGGAGTGCAGGTATCATTTCAATATGATGATTTGCATTGCTTTGGGTATATACCCAGAAGTGGGATTGCTGGATCATATAGCAGTTCTATCTGTAGTTATTTTAGGAACCTCCATCCCATTTTCTATATTGGCTGCACCTATTTACAGTCCCACTAACAGTGCAGGAAGGTTCCCTTTTCTCTGCATCCTTGCCAGCATTTATTGTTCTCTGTTTTTTTGATAATAGCAAGTCTAACTTGGTGAGATGATATCTCAGTGTGGTTTTGATTTGATTTCCCTGATGTTAAGTGATGTTGAGCATTTTTTCAAGTGTCTGTTGGCCATTTTTATATTTTCTTTTGAGAAATGCCTATTAGCTCCTTTCCCCATTTTTTAATTGGGTTATTTGTTTTTTACTGTTAAGTTGTTTGAGTTCCTTGTATATTCTGGTTATTAATCCTTTCAGATGCATAGTTTGCAAATATTTTCTCTCACTCTGTTAATTGTTTCTTTTGCTGTGCAGAAGCTTTTTAGTTTGATATAATCCCACTTGTTTATTTTTCCTTTTGTTGCCTGTGCTTTTGGGGTCATATTCATGAAGTCTTTGCCCAGTCTTATATCCTGAAGTGTTTCTGCTATGTTTTCCTTTTGGAGTGTTATACTTTCTGGTCTTAAATATGTTTTTAATCCATTCTGAGTTGATTTTGGCATATGGTGAGAGGTCCAGATCTAACTTCAATAGTTTACCTATACAGTGGTTTTACACAATGGATCTTTGACATGAAGTATGTGCATACTTCTTATTAAAGAATGATTTCAATACAGTATCAAACAGACACTTCAGGAAAAAAATTGATTTAAACTTGCTTATTATTTTCCCATATTATGATACATAGTATCAAAATGTTTTAAACTTCTGAGTTATGAATACTTTTATTTTCCTCAGCACCTTTCAGTATCATTACTTCTTTGACACCCTTTTACTTGGCATCTGTATTTCTCCTTCTGACGTGTTAGTTACTATAAAGCAGGCTAGAACATTTTAAATGAAGGAAGCATTATGTAAAAATAAACTCATGTTTTTCTTTTCACATATGTTCAGTTGAAATCATATGCAGATCTCAGTGGAACATTATTCAGTACGAGTCACTTAGGGAACAGAAAGAGGCTACGCAGCCAAAAGCAGCATCTTATGAATAAGACACTGCATCAACATCTTCCCAGTCTGACACTCCCTCCAGTCCTCATAAGATGTGGGGGGTTAAAATTTGTCTCTTCTTTGCTCATATCAAGTAAAAATAAAATAAGATAAAATAAAAGCAGATTACCTTGTTAAAGCAATGTAAAAAACAAAATGCATGGTAAAATATAAGAGTTTGTGTGTTCATACACCGGTGTGATAGAAAGACGTCACATCTAGTTTAGGAGGGCAGAGGAGATGATGTATAATTTTTTATCATACCTAGAAAAATAAAATGTTGAAAAATATAATGATTAAAGCAAATACTCAAATTAAATACATGGTGTTCAGACAAGCAACAGAGATTTGTAAAACTAAGTAAATGTCCTCATAGAAATGTTTATGATTAGGAGGAAAGAGTAAATACAGGAGACCTAAAATAGATTTAGGAGACCTAAAATATCAGCATGACTGGAAGAGTGTCAGGTTAGTGATCCACAGAGTGCACTGCATGAGGAGGGTTCACAAGGCAAGTGCGGTCAACAAACTAAGATAGAGTCCACAGGTACAGGCAAATAACAAATGTAATTAGAGGTGGCAGTAAATGGAGTGTTGGAAAGTTAAAATGAGTATTTTTCAGAAGAACGAGATAAGGTGTAAAATTGCAGAGACTGCAATCGATAAAGATAATGAAAGTGCTGGCATATGAACATGTTTCCAGTGAAGTAAAAGGCAAAAATGGTAACTGGGGGCAAGTGGGGAGCAGCAAAGGAGGATTCATTAAGGTATGGGTTCGGTTTACTGTGTAAGATAGGAAAGAAATACCAAGTATTAAAGTAGGAAAGAAGTGGCTTAAGGTAACCTGCAGTGCGGAGTTGGGTAGAGGAGCAAAGTCTTCAGGTGTCAGGAAGTGATTGATGAAGGAAATTTGATAATGGATCACAAAGATCAGTACACTTTCCCCTGCAATTATTTTTTAGAAAATAAGAAATTAGGTTAAGAAAAATAGATCCGAGGGTCTCCATCCTTTCTATAAAGCCCAAAGCAAGCTAATCCACAAATAGCGTGTATGTGGAATTGGCAAAGGCTAGAATTATCTTAGGAGCTTCAGGAATAAATTGATCCATTAACTTTGCTGACCTGATTATCATACAATATATACGTATCAAAAATCAGATTGTAGGGTCGACTGCGTGGCTCACTCGGGAGAGTGCGGTGCTGGGAGCACAGCAGTGCTGGGAGCACCAAGGCCGGGGGTTCGGATTCTATATAGGGATGGCCGGTGCGCTCACTGGCTGAGCGCGGTGTGGGCGACACCAAGCCAAGGGTTCCGATCCCCTTACCGGTCACACACACACACACACACACACACACACACACACAAATACCAGATTGTACACCATAAGTTTATATAATTACAATGTGTAAGTTAAAATAAAAATAATATAATATAAAAAGTCTTCGTGCATTTTATATTTAGAAAAGTGAATACATTTGTAATGAGAAAGCTCCCTCTGTTATTTCTCACAGGTACCACGGTGCCGGCATTGCTGAACAGCACTTCCAACCAACTCTACTTGCATTTCCAATCTGACATTAGTGTGGCAGCTGCTGGTTTTCACCTGGAATACAAAAGTAAGGTCAACTATTTCTGCAACTGGCTTTTATTGTTATACTGAGTAATTTTCTTAAAGGAGGAATAAATCCATATTCTTACTAAACAGTGAAATGTTGTTCTAAAACTTTGTTTAAGACTTGCATGAAATTAGATCTTATAAAACCTAGCTCTATGAAATATGTATTATAAAAGGCAAATTAATGGAGAAATGTAGGAGTTAGTATCTGTAATAATTTGATACAACAGCTATAACTTCAGGTTGTTTGTCATAAAAAGCGCAAAAACTAACAATTTGTAATATTACTAGTTTTCTTGTGAGCGATAGCAAATGTAGGAGTTAGTATCTGTAATAATTTGATACAACAGCTATAACTTCAGGTTGTTTGTCTTAAAAAGCGCAAAAACTAACAATTTGTAATATTACTAGTTTTCTTGTGAGCGATAGGAAATATTCACATTAGCCTCCCAAAATATACAAAATCATGACTATGGTGGTAAGCTTTTTCTATTTCTAGTTTCAATGGCTATTAAAATAAGAACTAGCAAAGAGCCTGCACTTCAGTGCCTGCATCTGTGTATTATTCATTTTAATTGGGAGAAGGCATTGCATTGCAGAGGAGACTCTAACCTTTTAAAAATGTATGTGAGGCTGAGTTAATAGTCTAATAAATGGGATGGCAAAGGTCATATTCACAAATGTTTGGTATTTGATTATGCAGGTAAAACTTGTGAAAGCAAAAAGAATTTGCAATGAGAGTAAGGTTTATTTTAGGACATGTTTTCAAGCACTAAAAATGCTTAATGTTGATATTCATCTCCTTTAATAAGCAGTTACAAATAAGCAAATACATGGATAAGCTTTAATAAGTGATCTTTTGAATTGAGATAAACAGTTTTCTAGGATGTAAATGCATGCATGTTTTCGAAAGGCCAGATTTCCAGCTGATGATAAATATTCTGAACCATACACAAACCACAGGGCTGTTTCACGTTCTGGTTAAATTTCCCTACTTATTACAGGCATTCGTATGCAAGTTTATTCCAATTTATATGAATAGAACTACTTTAGTGACAGTGTAAAATGATACTGTGGATGTTATTTATGTAGGATATGTGGGAGAAAAATCTACTAATTTGATATGTTTTGTGAATATTGGTAGATAGGAAAATATAAACCTTATTCATGATAGTGTTAATAAATTCACTAATACTTTTAGCAGTGTTACAATTGATGAATGCTCATAGCCCTCTCAAAGTTATCTTGTAGCTTCTAGATTCTCATTCACTTTTCATGGAAAGAGTGCAAATAAAATAATTAGTCCACAATTATTCATGTACTAACTCACATGGGCTTCAGCGCCATCAGGATAATTATCTACATTCCACTTTATTCCTAGTCAGTATAATGCATTAAAAGAGAGAGACTAACAAATTTCTCCTTGAAGTAAACCTTGTTGGAGAATCCGAGGCCTTGTTTAACTACTTACTATGTTTATTTTTTATTTGGCCAAATATATTTCTATGTTTTCATTTGTTATTTTATTTTTTGAAGGGTTGTTTTTTGACACTAACATGATTCTGATAGCTCATGCCATTCCAATGTTAAGAGGAAGTCATTTCTCTGTTCTCATTTTTCATGCCAGAGGTTGAAATGTGGGTTATGCAAAGTGTAGAATTAACCTTACTAAGATCCGTATCAAATGGTATAAGGACTGTTGACATAAGTTGCCAAAAGATTTTCTAGGGTTTTTAATTTGTTGACCTATTTTGGCATCTACATTAGATTATGTATTGCCAATCTGCAAATCTATAAAATCAAACTTTTCACCAAAATAT